CAGGATAAGTTATATCATACATATTTTCTTCCCCTTACTTCTCCTCAACTCCACCTGTGTTATAACTTTTTTTTTTCTGATAAAGTGGTGAAGAGTAAAATGGTGATCATCCCCACCATTCCTCACCTGCTTGCTTCAGAGGTAACACAAGTATTAAGAGTTCCTGATTCAGTTTGTACACATCAGAGGTATTGTATAGCTTTTGTGCATATTTTGATCATAGTTCCACAAAACACATAACAGAGATTGGACAGTTCATTTTATAACAGATATCAACTCAGCAAGATTCAGCAATCTTTTCAATTATTAACAACAACAATGAAAAAAACTCATAACAAACAAAAAATACAATCTAAACCAAAGGCCTTGCAGAAGAACTGCTCAAGCGGGCAGACAGACAGAAGCACTCCTTAAAGGACATGAAGGAGATGACGGTAACCGCCTTTACAAATGGCGATTCAGTGCTGTGTCTGAGACACACAGAGTACTTGGACTAACTTCTGAACTAACCAGGGTGAAACAAGACCAAAAAAAAAAAAAAAAAAAAAGGCAAGTAGGGTTAATTTTACATGTACTTGGCCTCCACTTTTTTTTACCTCTAGTTGTTTATTTCCTATAAAACAGTATTAAAAGAATTTATTTTCTGAATTAAGCCTTACTTTTAGAATAAAACTATCTGCCTGAAAAGAGAATATCTTTTCTTCTGATAACACAGTTAAAAAAAAATACCGTTAACTGTGTCCAAAATAAATAAAATAAATCTGGGCTGGTCAGACATGGTTTTGATCTTAGGCTGGAGAAGGGAGGCTCTTCCTAAAGGATGCTTCTTGGAAGGCGAACTTCTGCCACTGACCGAATGCTCTAAGGACTAATGCAAAGCAGTTGTACTCCCCGGTTTGATTTAAAAACAGATGGGAAAACGTGTTGTCCTTCCCTGTCCCTGCCAGTTTCTCTCATCCTCATGAATTACTGGATCTTACCAGAAATTTCTGAATCAGCGTGATAGGATTTTCCCATACAGAAACCAATGCCACCTGAAGCAGGCATGGAAAATTGCCATTTGAATACTTAAAATCTGGACAAACTACAAGCAACTGGAACTGGACTGTAACATGGAAAGCATTATTGAGCCCTAAATAGGGACACTGCTAGCAGGTCTGCCCATAAACAGCAACAAAGACCACCTAAATACCTCCCGGTGCAACACAGCAGGAAAACACTCGACTTAAAAAAAATGTGCATGTATTTTTAATCTCAACATACTGCAAAGTAATTCTAAAAGAAAATTTTAAAAGTACTAAAAACCAACAAAAAAGTGGCAGCTGAACTACGTAACTACTTTATATTTTCGGCACACATTCGTGACATTCGTAAATCTCAAAAGCTGTGGGCAGTTCTATCAGAACCTTGGACAGCACTGAAGGGACTCACCAGAGCTGGCGCCTTCCCTCCCAGGGAGGAGCCCGGGCACCCGCGAGCACGGGCGCTCTGCTCTGCACCCCACGCAGGGCGCAGAAGCGCCCTCGGCCCCCCGCCTCTCACTGCCACCTTCAAAAGCCAAAACGACGCCTGGCCCCAAAGGAAATCTTTGGGATTTTAAGGAAAAGTGCAAGTGGAAGCATAAGACCTTTCCGTTAGGGTTATTCTGCGTTACTTGCTTGGCCTTTTAAGGTTTCTCCCCATCTCCAGTTTAATATGAAGAATATTTTAAGACAACAAAATTCTAAGTCTGCATGAAACTATGATGCATATAAAGGTAAGTACAAAAAAGGGTTTAAAATAGTTTTAGGTGGAGCAGACACAACACATTTTTATTGCTTTTTCAGGGGAAAAAAGGGGGGGAAATTGTGGGGAAGTCTCATTACTCGAAGTCTCATTACTCACTCATACACACTCCGAATTATGAAATAAAACGCTAAATAAAAATGGATTCCAGCATTGACTGCCTGTGATTTTTTTTGTTGGTTGCACTTGAAAAGTATGTAATTTAAAAGCTCTTTAAGTAAAACATATTAGGAGAAGCAGGAAAAATTTAAAACATTTAAAAACATTTACACTTATTCCTCACAATGTGCCACAAAGCATTTTAAAACTCTATCAATCTGATGACAAAACAACTTTTTTATTTGCTTTTAATACAAAAAAAGACCTTAAAAAAAAGATCTCATCACTATTGTTCGCAAGCACTTGAAAGCAATAAGATGGTCACAAGACTTGATCTGACTGTTCTGCCTCTTTACAAACTCAATAAAGCTTGCTTTTTATGACTGATTGCTGTGCTGTATTAATCCCCTGGCATATAAAACAAGCCTATTGGAGACTGGGACTCCACTGGGGGAGGACAGGGAAGCTGTTGTGTTCCAAGAATTAATCCATCGAGGAAAATCAAAAGCCAGCCCCTCACAAAACAGTAATCAGTGTGTTCTGCACTGTGAAAGCCCTACATTTCCCATTTAGAAAACACAACTATTTACCTATTATGTACTGAAACACACATGCACACAAAACTCCTGTTTGTCTGTATTTGGTTTTACTTTGCTTATTATTTATGGATTTGTGTGTTTTCCATTCGTGGGTACACAACCATCAAGTTAAAAAAAAGCTGTCTATTCTAAACTGGTTAAAAGGAAGAAGGGACTCCCACTGCTTTCTCCACAACCAAAGTTCTTTCTGGATTTGCTTTGTGAACAGGATTTTAACTCTTTATTACCCTAAATAATTTTTTTTTCTAAGTTTTTTCTTCAGACAGAAATTTTGTCAAACCACCCAACATGAATTTCCTAAATAGCACAGTCAAAATAAACAATTTTTTTTTAAGTTTTAGAATTACTTGTCAGAAAACACCTTCACTATATTTCTAGATTCTATTTCTATGCTTTGATCATCCTTTGCTAAATAAAAACTTAAAAACTTTCTTTTTTTTTTTTTTTTTTAGATTGAATGATATAGCCCTCCAAATAGAAATAAAGAGGAATATCTTTTTTTTTTCCATTTGGGTTATAATTCTTTTTCTTGTTGTTTAGAAGCTAGAAATATGAAATTTCAGTTCAGTGTTATGAAGATAATGATTAAGAAGCAAAGAAAGTCATCTCTAAATCTTATGTGGCAGACTGATTCAACTGCTAAATGAATTCTGGCCTACATACAAGAATTAAAACTTATGAAAATCATTGAGAAACCACAGTCAGAAAGAGTATATGCTCAAGGAGAATCAAAAATACATATATGCTTTTTCATTCAGCTAGCAGAAGGTGCTTACCTGTATAACAAATCACTTCATAAACTGGCACTTAACACAATTTTTAATATCCCCTGAAATGTTCCTGTCAAATCATTAAAAAACAAAGAATATCTTTATACTTTTTCGTCCTTAAACAAGTAACACATTTCTCCCCTCTTTTAAAACTAAAAAAAAGTCACAAAAAGCAACAAAGGGAATAGTTTGCTTTTGTCCACACTGTCATAATTCCTTCATACCTACAATTACTCAATGAAAGATTAGGGACTTACCTAGTTACCTTACAGTTTTTTTATCATTGCCTTTAAAAACCCAAAGGTGAATAAAATCCCAGTTGATCAACTCAATCAATAGTCCCCACTGGTCATCATGGCAGACACAGAAGCCGAAGATCTTAATTGCCTGGCTATTCTCCCAAATAGTTTTAAGCATTCCTATGCATTACTCATGGTTTTTCCATTTTTAAGTGAAGAAAGACGTTTCAGAAGCACAAGCTTTGACACATGGTTGAGCTGGTGTTACAGGTATTTTTAGGACATTAACTTGCATTTCCAATTAAAATGGAGTTAAATGACACTGCCACATACAGCTTTACCATCACTCCTCTGTCTGACAGAAGAGAGATGAATGAAAAAATGATGTACAAGAGCTAGTAATATCGACACTGAACTGCAATTTTAGTTCCATTTTGGCCATGGAGGATTGCATTTCTCAATTAGTGAGGCAACCCTATGGCACGCAGATAGTTAACTGTGAGCTCTTCCCCCCCCCTTCTCCCACCGTCTCATTCATGCCACATTCCACAGTGGCAGGGTCCAACAACAATATAGGAGGGTCCCCAAAATGAAGAGGCCGGGCCTTCCATTCTTTTGCCTCTCTTGAATTAATTAACTGGAAATGAGTTTTGTCAATGTTTTGGAAAGGCAGAGGGGTGAAAAGAAACTGCTAGAATTAATCACAGTGAGAAACTACCTCTTCAGCAGTCTGCCAGAGTTCAGAAAACCCATGAGAAGTGCAAAATGAAAGGAAAGTGGGCTGACTTACCATCCAAAGGAACAAATAAAATTCAAACAAACACCCAAGTCTCCAAAACAGAGACATGCCCCAGTGCAAAGGAATGTAGCATCTGTTGCCACAACAGCTTCAGCTTTGTTTTTAATAAACTTGTCACGAGGACTGAAAGGTAACAAGGTAGAAAAGACAATTTACTAATAATTTAAATACACAAAGGCCATGTTGCGTGTTTAATTCAGGAAATATTTATGTACATCTGATGTTTTGCTGTTCTTTATACAAGTATAAATACACACTGAAGCACACTGATTGAAAACTAACAACTTTCATTTGTTCACCCTTGACACAATACATATCTTTTAAGGCAGACTGCAAAGCAGTTATATTCCTTTGTAGGGTTTTTAATGATAATTATCTCAATGGAAATTGGTAACAACTCAGTACTATGCTAGATGCATGATATCTTTGAACTAACAAAACAAGAAAGTAATAGAGTTTCACCCACATTAAAAGTTTTTTTCCCTGATTAGATAATTTTCCCAGGTAGTCAGAAAATTTACAGGTGCCCATTAGTTTGTAACAGCGAGGGACAACTATTATTCAGCAGAGAATATTTCAGAGAAAAAAACCATAGTATTTCCAGCAGACTGGAACTCAAACTCCAACTGAAGAAAACGTGATTGCCTTACAAAGGAAAACGTGAAAGAGAAGCGTTCTTTCCATGATTCCACTGTTCTCATTTGGTTCCTCATGAAGGATTTTTTCTAATAGATCTCAGAATTAACTTGTCCTCTTGTTTCTCTACCTGTAAACCCATACTCTCGAGGATAGAATTGTCTGCCAGCCCTCGTTCCTCCATGTGTGCAATAAGCTCTTGGTTTCTCTCATTTTGCTCAGTGAGATTTCGGATCGCATACACTGCCCACTGGTTCACGACTGTTGAACAAAGTTAAGGATCTGTTTGGAAGACGTAACGATACTTATTTTAACAAGACTCCTCCTTCCCCCCCTCATCCCCTTTATTCCCTAAAAAAACCCCAAAACCTCAAACTCAGAAAAACAGTCAAAATCAAGGGTTTAGAAAGGAAAGACATTTACAGGTTACGACTCCAAGCCTGTAAATACTTGCATGCAAGGTAATTTAAATTTAATTGAGGTATATCCATTAACTTCAGGCAAGCTTACTATGTTTTACCTGGAGTAAAAAAACAAATGAACAGCTAGAATTAAAAGGACATGTTGTTTTAAACCAAAATTACAACTAATTGAAATGTTTCAATGATGTTCCTAGTAAGGTTAAAAAAAAGAAAAAAGGAAAAAAGTCAATGACAACATCTGCAGACTTAACATTTCAACACTGCACATTCAAAAATATGCAAAAGACGTAATTATTTTCACAGTAAATGTTGAAGAAACAAGCAGAAAAAGAGAAACATATCTTAACCATGCTAAGAACCATCAAGAGCATAAATAATGTGGGAAATGCTTGAAAACATCTAGCTTTTAATGTTGGCTAAATTCAGTTCCTTGTACCTGGGAGCTTTCACTAACTCATCAACAGAAGAGACACTAAGATCTCCAGCAAGCAGCTCCTGCTCATGTTCAAATGGGCACAAGCTGCAACTTATTCACCTTCTAAGGTGGTCCCTTGAGGCCAGGACTGAGGCGCATGTCAGGGCCACAGACAAAGGATTTAAATTCTCAGGATTATCAGGCAGGCATCTTCCAAGTGAACTACAGTGCTTGTTTTCTGAAGTGTCAGAGATGCTAGCCCCAATTCTGCAGCTGAAAAGCTACGTTATGATATAATCTTTCCCAAGTTACCCATATGGGAGGCGAGCTATTCTGAGTCATACAAAAGTGGTTTGCCTGCAGGGCATCAATTATTTACTGCATGTAGCTTCACATCCAGGAGAAGAATATGCATAATTTACGCATCTTCTTGACGTCTTTTGGGTTGGACAGTGTCTAAGTATAGAGATAAGATACTGTTTGTACGGGCATTTGCTGGGGGGGGACTGGAGGGGAAAATTCAACTGGGGAAGGTGGGAACTTCAGCCAAAAGAATACACTAAGGGAACGGGACTTTCAATTCTCTTACAAAATCTATCCTGACTGCATTTGGAAAATGCAGAACTACTGCAGCAGACTTACACTTACACTCTTACAGTCATCTTTACCCTTTTCACTATTATCTTTGTGTGTCTTGCAATGATTGAACCCATTTCCTGAGCCCCCCACTCTTTTCAGCACCGGCACACTCTCTGCTGCACCAACAGCCAAGAGTAGCATCCTCATTTTAAGAGAGGGGAAATGACAAACAGAGAATAAAGGAGGAAAATAACAGTTTATGAGCAATATGTAACCACACACTACTTAGACACCAAAAAGGACAGAGGGATTGAAGCAAAAAGCACACAAGGAATCAACACAGAGGACAAGGTTCAAATGAAGAGTAGCTGGCCAAACATCACAGGAATCGTGCATGCTAGGGAAGAGTCCTGCACTGACATGCACCACGGAAACAGCCCTCCAACTTCTAGTAGCAGTTCATACTGATTTTTAGATTGAAGCAGCCAGAATCAGAAACCAAAAATGGCAAAGCAGTATCAACTACAAAGCTTTCCTTTGCTGACCGAGTTCTGATCAAGTGATGAGGAAACATGCTGCACACCTCCTACATTTTTAAATTTCTGACAAAAGAAAATGACAAAAGGCTGAATTCAGGGTGGGTACTGACAGAGGAGAGAAACTACGAAAAAAAAAAAAGTACCATAATCAAAGCCCTAATTAGGGAAAATGATAGAAAATACTGATTAATTCTCTCTGGTCAGTACATTACTGCTACAGTTAAATGACTAGACAAGTGCCAAAATACTTTTGTAAGCGGAATATTTCCACTGGGAACTACACCTTTGAGCATATAGAAAAAAAATAACAATAACAACAACAAAAAAAACAGAAATCAAACTGCATATAAACATAATTTCACTTGCCATCTCTAATGGTGAGAAAAAACACCAGAATGGTAAAGTATGCAAGTGGATGAATCTAGATGAGCAAGGCTTATTACCTAGATCCTTCCTAGTCTCTTCCAGGACAATCTGCAAATGACAGAAAGCGCCATGAATTTCCCCCAGTAAATTATGAGAAATACAGTATCGTCTTCCTTGGCTCTGCTCTGAAGGACCAGATTTCTCTAAGTTCCTAGAATACATCTATGAATTTAACTTGCATGGAAGAATACCCCCTAAACAGAGATGCAATTTTCAACATATAACAGTTCTCACTTGCATGAAATGCCACACACACAGGACAAAGAAAAAAACAAAACAAACAAAAAAAACCCCACACACAGTATATATATTTTTTGCATTAGGGCTTGGGAATAGTTCCGTTACCACCATCCTTCCGTCCTGTGGCACAAAACACTTCTAAAACCCCCAGCAAATGATGCTTTCCTATTATCATATCCATTCACGCTTACATAATATCTAAGACATCTCCATTATCTTACGAACTCTATCATCATTATGGCATTTATCATTATTGACTACTGTAGCTGAAGCTGCAAAGTGGTTTCAATAACGTTTTCATTCATGCAAAACCTCCTTTCTGTATGTAGGTTTTTCATTGTAAACTCAGTCATGAATATGTATGATTTTCCTTGTTCACATGCTGTGTGAGGCTAAGACCTTTAGATGGCTGTGGGCAGACCTAGACAGACTTAAGTGTCAGCAGAGATTAAAGCTAGTCCCCAGCTAATATTCACATTACCCTCTTGCTCCTCTCCAAAGATGGAGACACAGAGAGAAAATTAAACATATTCTCGAGTCTCTAATCCTACCAACACTTTAAGCACTTTATTGTATACTCAGCTTTAGAAAGACAGCTTCTGAAGTTTCCATAGTTACTACAAATAAGAGCATGAGCCCATTTGTTGTGAAGCTACATAAAAGAAAAGAAATGCAGCAAGCATGGTAGATTTGATTGGGTAAACTCGTCTAGATTTTTCCAAGATGACATTCTCCAGGGTCTAGTTAATATTATACACAACCAAGTGAAAATTAGAAGATCTCTTTCACAGTGGGGAGGCCATAAAAAAGAAAATAAACTGAAATTTTAATATCATTTTGTAGGAGCTTCATTAATGGACTACATGTGTTTAGGTAATGAAAACAAACATTTGTACATCTTTATAGTATATCTTTTCTAAAATCCTTCAGTACACAGAACACTACTGTCATACATACAATAAGAAAACTGTAACAATTTGTTCTATATTCCATGCTTCTGTAACAAATCTTCATACAGTAGTTTACAACACAACCGCCAACCTCCTCTGGATCAAAATTTCAATTGGCAAGGAGATGGAAGGGGGGGAGAAAGGGAGAGAGAAGATGATTAGCTGGCAATCTGCCTTAAAAGATGAAATATTTTACTCTCTGCAATCAACATAACAAACTGCTAAACTCTAGGTCCCCTGAGTCCCGAGGAAGTTTATCCACTAATTGCAAAGGGAACATTTCACATTTCTGTTGCTTTATTTCTCACGAATCCTGCCAGAACATGTTGTTAGTATCAAGGCTAGCATTTTGTGCAACTGATTTAGGAGTTGAACGACCGATTGAAAAGTTTAGCACGGTATAAAATAACAAATGCATACTGTCAGGAGTCAATAAACAATATCCCACTGTGGTGCCTGACTGCAGAGTAGGACCTATACACCATTTTCCCAAGGAAAGTATCCTTTTATTCTCATATTAGGAGGTCCAATTTAGGTCAAATTTTACTAAGAAGTCCATTTCAGGCATCAGAACCTTTATGAATTGTTCTATAAAACTCTTTGAAATCCATGCATGAAAAACCGTAGGCATAACAGCTATGGTGACCACTGAGATATGACTCCGACCAGGCAGATACACAGCAAGGCATAAGTAATGCTGAAAGTATGTTGGCTTCAAAAAAGCAAGTAGTAAAAAGTTACATATTAACATTAACTGCTGTAGGATACCAAAGATGAGTGCCAAGAAGGCTGAAATATGTATGTAGTTTTTCTTAGATCCTTTCTGCATTCATTAATTACGAGAAATTTCTAAGCAGAATATCCTCAGTGGAGATTTATTATTATTATTATTACATACCTTGCACACCATTTTAATTCTATATTTCTAGTTGGGCAGTTTCCTGCATTGCAGTTGTTTTTTTATAATTAAATGATTATTTGCAAAACTCTCTTCCTTCAGTGCCATTTTGCCTAATGAGCAAGAGAGGCTATCACTTGTCTAATTCCATTACCTCATTCACAGCTGATTTTTGATTATTTTAATATTAACTTAATTTTAACCAATTATAGGAAGAGATGCAAATGTTGTATCAAGAAAGACAGCAAAAACACTTTGGAATTCTAATCGAATGGGCTGTTTATGTAACAAGTAGTTCAACTTCTGTAAGAGCTTGTCTGGAACACGTCTATAGGGCTAGGAATCAAAGATAATTAAAATACAGTTCTTGCAAATTATATTTCTTTCCAGTCTTCAACACATAATCCAACTCTCAATGTTCTACAGAAAAGCAATACTGCAATACTAAAGCATCACATTAAAAGAATCACTTCCACTTACAGACCTGACTGGACCACACTGAAAAGAAATAAACACTTTTCCCTTCAAGGCTTTCAGCCCTTTTAAGTACTTGTGTATCACAGCAACTTGCAGATAATTCTTCTCACCATTAAAAGAGGGCTCTAGACAGCTCCTGGCACTCTCAGTCACAGAGGGGATCAATGGGCCGTGATTGACCACACGTAGTAGACATTCAGCACTTTGGTCCCTCATGGCCAGCCAAGTTGCTTACAAAGAGCCGCAAGTTACCCATTTCTTCTGACTGGAGATTAGTAGCTTTACAAAGTCCTAGAAGCTGGGTAAGATTAGAGT